GGGGGGGGGGGGGGTTACGGGTGAGATAGGGAGGTGTTAGAGTTATGGTGAATTTGATTTTAGGTGAAGATAGGTTGGGTTATTGGGTACGGGTTGTAATGTTGGTTATAATGTTATGATAGATGGGTATATGTGTTGGGTTTTATGGGTATGGGTATTAACCTAATAAAACAAAAACAAAACAAAAAAATTAAAAAAACTAAAAATTTTATACTTACCTGCCCGCAGCCCAGCGCCCCGCGCTAGGCCTGGCGTTGGGGGCTTCGAACATATTGCAAATTGCGCCCCAGGCAGCGTGGGGCACTGGCCTGGGTGCTGATTTTCTGATTTTTTAATTTTTTTGAATAAAATCCCCGATCCCCCCGAACACTTTATATATCCACTTTACATGCCCACACCATTCTACCTATAATTTCTATGTCTACAAAGAAAATAAAAAATCTAGTCTGCTCTGATGAAAGATTTAAAAAACTAAACTATGAAAGCAATAACAATTGGGTTGCCTCCCAACAAGCGCCTTACTTAATGTCGCGGCACGACGCAGGGCCTCGCTCACTCATCAGCGAGTACTACTTTGCTCTTCTCACGATCAACCCCAATAATGCTTGACTTTGTGCCCATTCACTAAAAACTTTCTTTCACCATTTAAAGTGCAGAACACAATTCACAATAAGGAGTGACTCTTACCACCTCAAATGGGCCTGACCATCTAGATTTTAACTTCGCAGGAAATAGATTGAGCCTTGAATTGAACAATAGTACCTGTTGGCCCGGTTCAAAGTGACATGGATTGATATGCTTGTCATGCCATCTTTTCGTTTTCTCTTTGTAAAGCTTCACATTTTCATAAGAGTGCATCCTGAATTGATCCAACTCATTCAACTGCAAGAGTCCCAAGAGTCCCTTCTCGCCTGCGGCTTCAAAGTCCATATTAAACTTTTTAATTGCCCAGTATTCCTTGTGTTCAAGTTCAATAGGCAAGTGCCATGCCTTCCCATAAACAAGCTTATACGGCGACGCCTCAATTGGTGTTTTGTATGGAGTTCTGTATGCCCACAAGGCATCGTCTAACTTTGCAGCCCAATCCTTCATATTCGCACTCACTGTCTTCTCTAATATTTGCTTTATTTCCCTGTTGGACACCGTAGCTTGTCCATTTGTTTGCAGATTATATGCCATGAAAACTCTATGGCGGACCCCATATTTAGCTAAAAGGTTATTCAACAACCGATTGCAAAAATATGTTTCTTCATCACTAATCAAAGCGTGTGGAGTCCCAAACCTCGAGAATATGTTCTTCTTCACAAAAACAGCTACCACCTTGGCATCATTGGTTGACAATGCGATCGCCTCTACCCATTTTGATATGTAGTCAACTGCTAGCAAGATATATTTATTTCCTCTGGACAATAGGAATGGTGCCATAAAGTCTATCCCCCACACATCAAAAATCTCTACCTCCAGGATGTTATTCAAAGGCATCTCATGCCTCCTTGTGATTTTCCCTATTCTTTAACACTGGTCAAACTTCTTGACAAATTCATGGGCATCCTTGAATAATGTTCGCCAAAAGAGCCCAGATTGTAGCACCTTTGCAGATTTCCCATGGCTTCCATAATGGCCCCTAAAAGGCGAGGCGTGGTAGTCATACAACATTGATTCCACCTTTTTTTTTTCTCTGAAATGCAATTTCTAGCTTTAGATCCAATTTCAGGGAGAAGTACCCCACTCACAAGATAATTCACATAGTCCGCGTACCATGGGGGAGGGTCTTGGGTGATAGAAAAAAGTTTCTCATCAGGGAATGCCTCCTTAATTTGTCCACCTTCCTCCACATGCTCATGATTTTTCAACCTTGATAGATGGTCAGCTACTTGGTTTTATGTGCCCTTCCGATCTCGTATTATACATCAAATTCTTGCAACAACAAAACCTAACGCATCAATCTAGCCTTGGATTCTTTTTTTGGAAAATAGATACTTGATTGCTGCATAATCGGTATGGACTATGACATTAGTTCCCACCAAGTATGCCCAAAATTTCTCAAAGACCCACACAACGACCAACAACTGCTTTTCAGTGGTGGTGTAATTCAGTTGTGCATCATCGAGAGTCTTACTCGCATAGGAGAAGAAGTAAAACATCTTGTCCTTTCCCTGGCCTAGCACTGCCCCAATAGCATGGTCACTTGCATCGCACATAAGTTCAAATGGTTAGGACCAATCCAATGCCGCAATAATGGGGGCATTCTTTAACATCTTTTTTAGCTCTTCGAATGCCTTCAGGCAGGCTTCATCAAAATTGAAGGTTACATCCTTCTCAAGCAACCTGCACAAATGAGTAGCAATTTTTGAAAAATTCTTAATAAAGCGTCTATAGAATTACGTGTGTCCCAAGCAACTCCAGACACCCTTCACAGAAATAGGTGGAGGTAATTTTTCAACCGCCTCCAACTTCTCCTTATCAACTTCAATGCCACTCCTTGACACTCTATTGCCCAACACGATTCCTTCTTCTACCATAAAATGGCACTTTTTCCAATTTAACACCAAATTTATTTCTTCACAAGGGGCCAACACCTTGCTCAAATTCTTCAATCAATCATCATAAGAAGACCCAAAGACTGAAAAATCATCCATGAAGACTTCCATAAAATTTTCAACCATATTAGTAAAATAGCCATCATGCACCTTTAGAAAGTAGCCGGTGCATTACAAAGACCAAACGGCATTCGCTTGAAAGCGAATGTACTATAAGGACAAGTAAATGTGGTATTATCCTAATCCTATAGGAATATGACAATCTGGTTGTACCCCGAATAACCATCAGGGAAGCAATAATATTCATGCCCCGCCACTCTATCCAACATCTAGTCAATGAATGGAAGTGGGAAGTGGTCCTTGTGGGTTGCTTTGTTGAGCCTTCTATAGTCAATGCAAATTCTATAACCCGTCACGGTGCGAGTAGGAATTAGTTCATTTTTCCCTTTTTCTACCACAGTCACCCCCCCCTTTTTAGGCACACATTGCACTGGGCTTACCTAGTTGTTGTCAGAAATAGGAAAGGTGATACCTACATCGAGCCACTTAATTACTTCTTCTTCATGACCTCTTTCATAATGGGATTTAGTCTCCTTTGTTGCTCAACACTGGGGCGGTGTCCATCTTCTAGAAAGATTTTTTACATGCAAAATGATGAACTGATTCCTTTAATGTCAGCAATTGTCCACCCAATAGCCTTTTTATGCTCATGAAGTACTCGGAGCAATTTTTCTTCTTGCACATTGGTCAAGCTGGATGATATAATCACTGGCAATGTCTCAGAGTTCCCCAAATAAGTATTGCACATATGCGCTGGAAGGGGCTTAAGCTCTAAAGTTGGAGCTTCTTCAATAGATGTCTTAGGAGTGGTTAGAGTAACAGTCATGTCCAACTCCTCAAATATCCTAAACCATGGACATAGCTGGAAGACATGTTAAGTACTTGCTCAATTTCTTCCATCATCTCATCTTCACTGTCTTTATCATCCCTAATCAAGGCTCGTTCAATAGGATCTATAGGTCTCATATAAGGCACCAATGATGTCACATCACTTTCCACCACATAAATCATGGATAGCTCTTCATAGTGGGACGACAATCTGAATGCTTTATACTCATTGAATACCTCAACTTGGTCACCCATTCTAATCATCATCTTTCCTTTACATACATCAATAATAGCTCGGCCCGTGGCTAGGAATGGGTGCCCCAAAATAAATGGGACTTCCTGATCAGGCTCATAGTCCAAGATAATCAAATTAGCAGGGACTTTGAAAGAACCCACTTGAAGTAATACATCTTCAATCACTCCTTCAGGATGAGCAAGGGAGTGATCAACCAAGTGTAAAATCATCGTGGTTGGGCGCGGTTCACCCAAACCCAACTATCTGAACAAAGAAAGCGACATCAAATTAATGCTCGGCCTAAGATTACACAAAGCTCGTCGACTGCGTGCTTACCAATCGAGATTTGGATAGTGAAACTACATGGGTCCTTAAATTTCTGAGGTAGCTTGCTTTGAATTATTGAGCTACATTCTTCAATGATTGCCACAGTCTCGAACTCTGTCAACCTCCTCTTATTTTCCACTATGTCCTTGATGTATTTGGCATATTTGGGCACTTCTTGCAGGTTATCTACCCGTGGAATATTGATCTGCACCTACTTCAAAATATCAAGAAACTTTTTATAGGCTGCATTATCCTTCAATTTCTGCAATCTCTGAGGGAATGAAGGTGGTAGCCTCGCAACTGATGGTGGGGGTTGCTTATCCACTGCCACTTTAGCTGGCTTCTCTGACTCCTTTGATTTTTCTAATTCTACTTCTATGGTGGCCCGTTTCTCATGAAAGGTCATATGCTTCCTCTTTTTCGATAGGACTTCTTATAACTGTCTCCCATTCCTCAATTACACAATATTAATATATGCCTTAGGATTAGCCACAGTGTCACTTGGAAGAGCCCCAACTGGTCGAGTATCTTGAGCGCTGGCAAGTTGCCCCACTTGTCTCTCCAAATGTTGAATCGCTACAGTGTGGCCTGCTGCTTGAGCCTGCTGATCATCAATTTCTTTAGCATCTCCTCAAAGTGACTTATCAGGTTTGTAGGTTGTTCAGTCTGAGGTGGTCTATATCACTGTTGAGGAGCTTGTGGCCTGTACAGATTCTGAGCACCTTGGTTTCCAACCCAAGAGAGGTTTGAGTGGTTCCTCCAGTTAGGATTGTAAGTGTTCCCATACTAATTTGTCTGGCCCTTATTTATATTACCCACAAAATAGACATACTCTGGATTAACTGGGCATAAGTTGCTTGTGTGACCCTCTCCACATACTTCACAAAATATTTGAACCCGTTGCACTAGCTGGGCTTGTTGCTTGTTAATAACCAAGCTCATTTGATTGACTTGGTTGGCCAATGTGGCACTCTGCGCTAATAATGCAGAGATGACATCTAACTCGAGAACCCCTACAGAATTTTGCACTGTGTGTTTGCCCATCTCTCCTATCCAATCAGGATTGCTTTTGGAGAATTTGTTAAATAATGCATATATCTCATCGAAGCTTTTCTCAAACACTTGACCTCCCGCTGCAGCGTCCACGATAATCTTTGTCTCTGGATGTAGCCCTTATATGAAACTGTAAGCTAACACTTTATTTGTCTGGTTGTAATGAGGTTAGTCTCTGAACATCCCCTTGAACCTTTCCCAAAATAAGTATAAAGACTCCCCTGATTTTTGTTTGAAGGCGACTATCTCACTTCTGATCTTTGCAATTTTGCCTGAGGAAAGAACATTGCCAAAGATTTCCTCGCCAGATCATTCCATGATGTTATAGAAATGACTGGTTTTGCCTTCAACCATCTTTGATTCGCCTAATAGAGAGAATGGGAACAATGTGAGCCTCACATAGTCTGGAGTGACTCCATTAGTGATTTAAGTATCACTAATCTCCAAGAAGTCCAGGATGTGTTGTTATGGATCATCGTGTCGAAGACCCATAAACTGCCCATTCGTATGTAGTAGCCGGATCATGCTCTGTTTCAGCTCAAAGTGCCCAGTGATTCTGAGCTTCACAATGCTGGAGGTGACATTGGTAATGCTGGTCATCGCCACCTCCTGAACAACCATATGTTGCTCCTCTGCCATGTCCACGGGAAATTGAACAAATGCTTGAAGATTATCTATGTCCCTTGCTTCCATCAACCTCCTGTGAAATGTTCTCTCAGGTTCGGGGTCAAAGCCTTGAAGTCTTTCCTAGCATCTGACCCTTCGCATTCAATCAAAGTTCTTAAGAGCAGAGCAACAAATCAGAATTTTAGAGTTGACGAAATAAATAACTAAAGTAAAAATTGACATTAGTCAATATTCAAGTCCCCGGCAATGGCACCAAAAACCTGTCGCTCCCAAATGCACACGCAAGTGTACGTGGTCGTACAAGTAATAAAATGATAAGTCGAGTGTCAAACCCACAGAGACTTGTGTTAACTACCCACTAGTTTCGCCAAGATTATTACTTAGTCAAGTCAATCAAAGTTCAAGAGTGTGATTATACTAAACAGTAATTCTAACAAGTAACTAAATCATCAAGAAAAAAATGTTGTTGTGTATTCAGTAGAAACAAATATTTCAGGATTTGTGATCGATTCACCAATCCTATTGTGTTCTAATTAACTCTCCCTATCATACAATTCACTCAGGGTTGCTAATTAATCGAACAATTGCTCTCGTAGTATTCTCCCGAATTCTTACTCGCCTATTCAAAATAAATTAACGCTTACATTCCTATGGAATCAATCTATTAAGAACGCATTAAGATTACGATGTTTAATTAAGCACTGTGACTAGGTATATTCCTATCCTAACCAAAACTCCGCCCCCCTTAGAGTTAA